AATCACATTTTAATGTTGAAATTATATTCAATTCAACATCAATGAAATTGGATACCGTTGGAACAAGAATATATGAAAGATAATCACGTACACAACTTGTTTTATCAACTTCCTGAATTATAGGGATGTATGCATTTGTACTACTCTGATATTGTTTCGGACCATATTCTCGAAGATCATTTATATGAGTAATTATTGCTTGTTCAGTGATGACAGCAGATGAAGGTGTTTTTTCAAGCTGAATTAAATATGATGTGATACTTTGTTCTACTTTCGAATAATATTCGTCTTCGAACAAGTCACCTTGTGATTTTAAGAGGTTGTTCAATAATTCTCTATTACTTAATGTCAACTGCATCGAAGAATTAAGCCAACATAGATTTTTATCTCCAATCATTTGAAGAGGTCGTTTAATATCATTCGATTGCAATTCAACTGTATACAAAAAAAAGAAACATGATTTTAATACCTTTTTGTATTGCTTTTACAGCAGAAATCATTTTCCGTATTTTATACCTAATAATTGATTCTTGCTTTGGTTTTTCCTTTTAGATTATCAATTCATTCAATTAGTTATTAAACTATACTAGCTTATTACTTTAAAATTGATTATTATTACCTTGTTTCTTTTGTTTATTCGATTTATTTTGGGACAGCAACATTTTTGTAACCTGATTCACTAAAGGTAATTTCGGTTTTTCAGAATATGTTCCAGTTGCTTTTGGCGGTCCCCGTTTTTGCCATAATTCTTCAGCTTGTACAGCTTTTTTCCGAACGCTCCTTTGACTTGTTAAGTTAATCATATAATGATCTGCATAATTAGTTTCGACAGATTGTATCGCTCCTCCTAATTGTGAGACCACTTGATCTAATCGCGACGCCACTTCACCGTTTAATATTGAATGTTTAACCACACGCATTCGGGATTCAGACATACCAGTGGTGCGACTGCTATGGCAGCCGCAGTGAACAATTGGATCAGATGTTCCTACTCCCAAAATGATTGACCTAATTGATATTATTAGCAATGTTGAAACATCCCTCTACTCAACTCCAAAAATTGTGAAACAGCTAGCAATTTCTGAATTTGTTCAAAAATGGAAAAGATCAAAAAGGAATAATTTAACACCGTTTGAACAGAAAATGTTGAAAGAACTTAAAAACGTCGAGGACATAGTGATAATTTCTGCAGATAAAGGTGGCAAGATAGTGATATTAAACAAGGACGATTATATATCTAAAATTGAAGAAAAGCTTGAAGATACGAGAATCTACACCGAAGTTAGTAATCCAACTGAGAAAATAAAGAAGGTGATTTCATCTTTCAGTCAGAAATTATTTGAAAATAACAAAATCAGTCAAGGTCAACAAAAAAACCTTACGTCTATTGATGATTTACCCTATGTTAGAGGTCAACCCAAGTTACATAAGCGATGAGATCAAGCGATGAGAATAATAACATGTAGTCGAAATACCATCACCTCACCACTCTCTCAGCTCGCTTTCTCACTCATCAAAGAATTAAGATCAACTATCGATAATAGTATTTTAAACACCAAAATTTTTGTTGAAAGAATAACAAAAGTGAAGTTGGAACCTGACGAAAGATTAGCTAGCTTAGATGTGTCTGACATGTTCAATAATATTCCAGTAATACGAGTTGTTGATATTGTTATAAACAGATTAGACCAGTCGACAGCTTTTAAGAACTCTTCTTTTACGAAATCAGATGTTAAGAAAATGATACAAATTGCCTTATCGAACAGTTATTTTGAATTCAACAAAAGATTTTTCAAGCAGAAGTCAGGACTTGCCATGGGTAATTGTCTTTCACCTTTACTTAGTGATCTGTACATGGATGATTACATTAAGAAAAATCTGCATGAAGTGAATGCATCATCAAAGTTCTTTAGATACGTGGATGATGTCCTGATTCTA